CCCCAAAACCCCAAAACCCCAAAACCCCAAAACCCCTATATAATGATTTTTACAAAAATTGAATTGTTAAGGGTAAATATTATTATATCACTATAGATTTTACTAGTTAACAAATGTAAGTTGTCTATCAATAATTTATGCTTTCGTCTTCTTCCATTATTTTATCTTCTCCTTTAACCTACTCTCTCCACTTTTATAGAGTTTATGCCATTGGGTCTTATTAGGATACATTGCTAGCTAAAATGCTACCAGTTCCACTTCTTCTCATAGATTATGAGCCTGAAACACTATCATCAACAGCAATAGCATCTCCTTTAAGAGTATTTTTCTTCCTCATTGTGATATGAGGATTAGGGAGGACAATTTTTTATTAACTACTGAATGAATTGGACTGTTAAAAGAACTCGTTTGTTCTTTGAAATTCTTCGTTAATGTTTATAGTACTCTAGGTATCCTACCTCTTTATCATCATTGAAACATTTGAGTCAAGAGTCTAGTTCAGATCAACTTATCTCTCAGTATTTTTTGGATTTTTAGATTTCACCCTTTGATCATTAGTAATGAAACTTGATGTAGAAGATGTACTCATAGGTTAAAGCTTACCATTTGGCCTTTGTCTTAATGGAGTAACAGATTTATGACCTAGAAGAGATAACTTCTACGATGAGGTATTATAAAGGTTAGAAGCAGCTGATGTCTTTTTGCCTGAGAGAGATGAATGATTCTAGTTAACTGACATAAGATTAGAACTACTCTAAATACTACTATTTTAAAAGTTTCGTTCTAGCTTTTATTTTTCGTTTCTTAGTTTTATTATTTCGTGTGCAATTTTTTCCCTGCTCACTGAGATAATCATATCATCGGTATTATCATCGAGTAGTATTTAAGCCCAGTCTACTTTACTTGTTTCCTCTGTAATATTCTCTCTGATCAGCGAACTATCTTTGCCAGTTAATGTTTCTAAGTACTAAAGTCTTTATCGCAAATCCTCGTTTTCTAACTGTTACTGATATAACTCCCTTTTGTAATTTTAGATTTAATAGCCTTAATAGTTAATCTTCTCTTAAAGCTTTGAATTATCAGAAAATACATCTTTTGCAATAGAGAGAGATTATTATATACTCTGCTAGTTATTATTATTAGAATTCATTCCACCGGTTTTCAACTATTTCATATTTCTTTTTACCTTACTACCATCTATAATTATTGGTGATTCATCAATATCTTATAGAGTCTAGTTTGGGTCTTACTTTACTTTGATCTAAGGCAAATTAGTTTTCTTTTAATCACCGATATATGCTACTACATTTTGATTATAGTTATTATGTATTGTGATGTTTCCACTGGACGATACTCCAGTATTTTTTATCATCCCTTCCCCGAAAACTTCTGCTTTCTATCCTGTTAGATTACTCAAATATTGAATATGCTGATTTGCCCTTTATAATTCAGCTGTAAGTATTTTAACCTACTATTTGAGTTCTTCTATTTATTTTGTTTTAGGGTCATCATTCCTAATAGGCGTATTTGATATCATTGCAGCTTTGCTAGCATACATGAGAGTACTTAAATTCTCTTCTAGGTATTTTTCTGATGGATGTAAGCATGCAATCATACAACATAAAGAATTACCCCCTAAACTCTATCTTAATAGACAGGTTAGTTTAGAGTCACGATATGGAACATATATTCCATCTTTTTTACCGCTTGCCATGTCGTTCAAGGCTGAAATTACCTGTCTCAAGGTAAACAGCGATTTATTAATTTCTATTGATTCCTTTTAAGTCTTTCCTTGAACTGAGGTATGACTCTGTCTTTCAGATCCTGCCAAATCAACTAATTGAAGTTTACTGAGAATGACATTTTCAGGGTTGCTTGGATCTATTTACTCAAGAGTTATACAAAAGATAGAATGGGATCGAGAAGACGATAGATTCATTTTATGTGAACCGATGACTTTATTCTTAATCCCAAAGTGAAATAGCTATATGATTTATTCATAGCTAGTACATTCAAATGTATACAGATTTTCAACAGTGTAAATATCAAATTGATTCCATTTTAACTTTAATCCTTGGGGGTCACCTTGAGGACCTCCAAAAGCTATTTGAGATTTCATTTTAAACATTGAGCTGTTCAGCAAATCATAAATTTTTTCATTGTATATTTGCAAGAATGAGACGTAAATTGCGATTCACCTCTAGGTTCTTGCTTTTTCTACTGACTCTATTAGTTATTAAGCGCATCTCTGTACAATTCCATATTTCTCTTGGTTATCTTCTACTTTAGGAACATATAAGCCTTTATCATTCGCGTAGTATTTGTAACCTTCCATAGTAAATGTTTTACCAGATCCTGTTTACCCATATGCAAAGATAGTTGAATGAAATCCATCAACAACTTTATTCACCATATAAGGAATATTTGTTTCATCATATACTTGTGACTAAGTAGAAGTTGGTCTCAGTACCTTATCAAATCTGAATAGTTTCGATTGTCTTGCCTTGTCCTGTTGATGCACTCTTTAGATAATTTAGATAAATAAATGGATATTACTCTATATCATTGCCATTTTCATTATACTTGATGCTTGTGCTGATTACTTAGTCTTCTTGCTTTGTTTCATCTTCTAAAAATGGCCTCACTCTGATAATGACTCTAATCTTGCCAAAACCATTATTAGTCTAGTTCAGTCCATTACTTTAAACCTCTGCCATTAATATCACTTCAAATTATAAATTAATCAACTGCTGAATTTCAATTTCCAATAATATTCATAAATACAGCTGAAAGGGGTTTTGGGGTTTTGGGGTTTTGGGGTTTTGGGG